GAATTGCTTATATTTGTCGGTACAAATTTAAATTGAAAAAAAAAAGTTTAGAGAGAAAAAATTCTGATAAGAAAAATCTGAATTTTTTTTCTCAACCATTGAGCAACATGTCCATCAACAGATCATTCCAAGAATCGATTGGACCAGGCAAACACCAATGCAAGCAATCATTAATCACAGTCGCGTTCTTATCTTCAGCAAACGGCTGATAAAATCTATACGGGCCCGGGTGCCCGTCGGGCCTCAACAAAGACATGGGATTCACATCAAACAGCCTCAAACTCACTCCATTTTCCGAAGCTTTAAACGAAGCCTTCTCAAATTCATCTAATTCGATCTCCCTCAAAATCCTAACCAATTCATTCAACTCGAATTCCCCTTTTTTCGAAGGAAATTTTCTCTTACAACTCCCACCACTAAACCACTCCCCACCTTCAAAGTGATCCGGAGTTGAAGTTCTGTAAAAGATCACACCTTTAGTGCTCGATTTTGTAGTAATGTAGTTGAATACGTTTCTCATTACTTTTCTGTATGCGAAGTTGAATCCTAGGTCGGTGAAGTTCTTGGCTTGGGGGCAATGGTGGCAACCTAATATAGTGTCGTTTTCGTAATATATTGCGGTTTTGATGAACCATTTGCCAACAGAGAATATTGTGTAGTCGAAGGTGTTGTATTGCTCAGTCCAATTCTTATCGAGTATGTCGAGATGGAGTTTGATTTCCGATGAGGAAACTCCGTTCATGTCTTCGAAAATTTCGGCTTTGGCGAGAAATGGGGCCCACAGAACTGATACGGTGAAGTTGTGGGAGGGGAAGAACCAGCGGCGGGATTTGTAGCTCTCGTCGTGGTAAACTTCCTTCGCCTTTTCGACCTGAGCGGAATAAGATCGTAATTTTAGTTGATTTTCATTCGGAAAAAAATAAAAATAAAAATAAAAATTCAATCTTGATCACTTATATATATTTTTGAAGTTCTAGTCTTGACTCAAAACTTGGATTGACTCGGGTTCGAGAATACGAACGGGAAAACCTAGTACGAGTGATAATTGTACGACCTCGTAAACATTTCCATGACCAATCAAAACAAGAAAGAAGCCAGTGTCCAATGAAATAAACCAACAATCAAAATAAAAAAGAATTGACATAAAAAAACCGCGTAAATATGATTGAAAGGGGAATAACTAAAATCCATCTGAAATGTAATTGAAGTCGAATAAATATATATATCTACATGGACAGAAACATGAAAACCCATGAAACAGCACAATAGATTATGTGTATCAAGAAGATCATCGTACGGCAAGTAAAAGGTATAAAAAACGATATGGGTGTTAATCTTTTCACAAGAAAAAAAGTCAACATAAACGATATGTGGACATAAATTTCTCGATCCATAGTCAACACTAAAGCCCCTCGCTATCTTCATATCCGAATTTAAGATAAATTGATGGCACAAACAAAAATATGAAATATGGCAGCGAATCAACATAGCAAGTCGTATTTACCGTAGAGAGCACGCAAAGGAACGATTGGACGTGGTTTCTCGATATCGAATCACCAATAAAGCCCCAACTTTTATTCCTCACGAACTCTAGAAACTTCTTAGGGTCAACTCTGGTCAAGTCGCAACCGTGTGGCTTCCATCGCCAGTAAAGATAATCCGTGTCCGGCCGCCCGTTCTTCATACAGTTCTGGTGGGTTTCAATGTGGCTGCAACTCGTGTTTGTGTAGAAAGGTCCCGCCTCGTCAGGAACCCAATCCCCCCTAAATATATTACACTTCCCTTCACTTTCGAAAGATTCTTCTCTCTCGTTTTCTGCAACTAATTTTAATTACATCATCAACAAATAGCATAATATTACAACTTCCTGCAATAAGTCCTAACAACAACACAACTGTAAATTCTGTCCCAATTTCCGACAATAATTTGTAATCACATCAACAAATACCATCATTTTACAGACAATTCTTGCAATGAATTCCACACCATTCAACACAACTATAAATTCTTACACAAAAAAACAATGAAGTAGTTACTATTAAACCCTACAAAAATACACAATGCAAATTCAAAATCTCAAACAAATTTTTCCCCACAATTCTTGCAAACACCAACCCAGCACCGAATATAAAGAACAGTAAATATAGAGAAAAAAATAAGGGAGAAAAGATCTGACCTTGTGGAGGAATCTGATCTGAATTTTGCTGAGAAACGATTGAATTAACAGGGGATTCAGAAATATGAGGGTTTTGAAGAAAAGGGGTGTCTGAAATTGGGGGAAAATCAGAGGATCTGTTGAAAAGAAGGGTAAATGCGAGACCCACTAAAAGAACAGAGACACCCAGCTTGATTACCAAGTAGTTGTTCTTGTGAAGGGGCCTCCACCATGACTTCCAATTGTACGCCATTTTCTTCACCATTCTCTCTCTAGCTGTGAGCTTCTTTCTCTCTCTCTCTCACTAAGACTAGTTGAACCACTGTGTCTGGAATTATATATATATATATATGTATATATATACAAGAGTTGTTGGTTTTCAGTGTGACAAGATTCTCTTGCAATTCTTTTATTGAGTAAACTGCAAAAAGTACCCCTGTGAAATTTCAAACTAGCAAAAACCCCCCTATGATAAATAAACTAGCAAAAACCCCCCTATGAAAATTTGTTAAAGGCAAAAACCCCCCTAGTGCATTTTCGTGTTGCACACTCGCCGAGTGTGCAGCTGGTGACGAATTTTTAGATCTGAAATTACATAATTACCCCCCAAATTTTATTAATATGTAATTTCATGATTTTTCCGGAAATTCCTACACAAACCTTAATCTCCATCTTCCCGACTTCAATTCGACCAGCGTCCTCCCACTACCGCAGCACAGCCTCCACCGTCGGCTGCTCTGCTGTGCTGCTCTACCATAGCCGTCGCGTAAGTCCAGGCTCGATCATGAGGACGAACAAGGGCGCTGACGATCGGAGGAGCTTCCGGAAATTTGGGGACCTGGGAAGCAGTTAATCTTTTAATCGACTCTGATTTAGAAGCCCTCTTCGGCGGCGGCGGCAATTGGAGCCTAGCGGAGCCCTACAACCCCGATTACAAACTGGCGTTCGAGTCTTTCTTCACCACATATCACATCTGCGTTCGTGTTCAACGGATTTTGTGGATTTTTTTTTTTTTTTTTGTGTGTTGTTGCTAGGTTTGCAGAAACAAAGCTAGCTTCTTTCCCACTGTTTTTAATGTTTGTTTTGTTTTGTTTTGGATCTTGAAAAAAAAATAGATAGAATTTTCTAGTTTGTTTTTGCTGGTTGGGATTGAATAATTAAGTGGGAAGACGATGGTGGTGGTGTTGGAGATGGCATCGGGATTCAAATCGTTGAAGATGATGATGATTCGATTTATCTTTTTATTTTTATTTTTTTTATTTTTTTATTTTCTTGATTTTTTCTGATTATTAAAAATTAGGTATGCAAATTAAATGGAAATATTATATTTTAAAAAAAATCGTCAATAAACATATACATAATATTGTAATTTTTTTTTCTCTTGCACAATTTAGTGTAGGAATAATTTAAAAGTTGTAAAGAAATTATATGATAATTTAAAAAATAAAAAAACCCCTTTCCATTTTTTTAATTACAAGATATAACAAAAATAATTTTTTTTATCAGTAATAAAAAATAAAATAGTTAGAACATTAGAAAATAAGAATTGAAATATCTCATTTGTGCTTTTTTTAATACTATAAAAATAGATATTTCACAGGGTTTTTTTGTCAATTTACACAAGGTCAGCCTTTAAATTGGTGGTGGGTCAAGTGTGCTATTTAAAAAAAAACACATGGGGGTTTTTGCTAGTTTATTTATCACAGGGGGGTTTTTGCTAGTTTGAGATTACACAGGGGTACCTTTTGCAATTTACTCTTCTTTTATTCGCCGTGGAATATAATACTTTGTTTATATGTTGAAGCACCCCGGGGAGATTTACCGACAACGGAAGACGGGTGCTTTTTGTTTTCATTTTGGGCAAATTAAGGTCAACCCTGATCTAAGTTCAAATTATGAAAATACCCCTCAAGTTTGGGTAATTACAATTATTCCTCAACTATGAATTTTCTTATACGTCCATCCTTATGGTGCCAAATTTAATGAAATATTCTTCAGTTTTTACCCGTTTTATCCTGTTCGAACTCCATATTTTGAAACAAGATGATCATAAAATGTGTCTTGTTGTAAATACCAAATTATGGTACATCAGAAACTGCATTTTTGCCCAAAATGAATACAAATTAGAGAACACTCCACTGAATCTAGAAGATTCTCTTGAATTTGATACCATATGTGTGAACTTGTAAGAAAATTCATAGTTGGGGGGAGTGGATGTAGTACCCAAAAATGAGAGGTTTTCGCAATTTAACCTTTCCAGGGGGTGTGGCTGTAATTTACCCTTTTGACTTCAAATATGTTATAACATACTGAAAAAATATTGTAATAATCTTTGGTAACAAAACTCTGAAACAGTTACTTTTACAGTAGAAACAATTAACACACAAAAAGGAAAATTTAAAAATCCCACACTTTATGCTATCTGCTATTACCAAAAAGTCCCTACAGATGATATTTTCACAATCCAACGTTTGCAATACTGACAAACCAACTTCAAACCAATCCAACGTTTGCTGTACAATTCTTACCAACAGCATCTACAACAATGAATAATTTCCTCCAAAAAAAATAAAAAAATAAAAAAAATGAAAAAAATATGCAATAGAAATGGCAAGTATATTTGGAGCATCAAGTAGCTACATGTCTTCTTCCACCTCTTTTTATCAAAATCATTTCTCGAAGATCTTCATATCGATTCTGATGATAGTCGATCGAAACACACAGCTGTCTTATAGCCTCCCGTTTCTCTTCACACAGCCTCAAGATTCCGTTATCTTTCTCCTTCATCTCTCTCTCCAATTCCCTCATCTTTTCTCCACGCTTTTCCGCACTTTGAGTCAAGCTTTTGATTTCATCTTCACCCTTTTTAACTACATTCTCCAGTTCAGTAATCTTCACAGTCAACTTCAACCCCTTTTCCTTCTCGTCTTTCAATTGCTGAATCAAACCGGAAATTTCATCCTTCAAGGATCTTTTCTCAGCATTAGTTCCAACAATCCAATTTCTCGTAAATTTAAGCTCGTTCATGATTTCGTAAACCCGAGACTCCAAGTGACCGTAATCCTCCTCAAATTTCATACCAAATGTATCCATCCCCGTCAATGTGCTGTTTACCTTCTCCGAAATTTCTGCTGCCACATTCGCCTGAGCTTCTTTATAAGCAGCATTCATCCTGGACAATACAGCAATCTTCTCTTCGAGCAGCTTTTGATCGTACTGCAACTTCTCCACTCTCCTGAGCTGGCACTCTTCATTCTCGCCCAATAACTGTTCGGTTATGCGCAGCTTCTGACTTGTTAAACGTTGCTTGACTTCAGTGGTTCTCATATTATCGACCAATCTACTGACTTCGTCAACTTTCATCTCTAGATCTGTTTTCAGTTCGTCTATATTATCTTCCAGTTGATAAATTTCCTGATTTTTCGCATCGATGTCTTTCTGGAACTGATCTGTCATCTCGTTTATCTTATTTTCTGATGATTTGACCTGTTCTGTTAAGGCAGCTATTTGGATGGAGGCATTGCTCCGAACTTCCTCCATTTCTTTCTCGATAGCAACAAAATCATCTCTTTTCTCTGCAAGCGACTTTTCAAGTTCGGAAATCTTGTTCTCTAGTCCACACTTCTCCTCCCTCAACTGATTTACCTCGGTAATTTTGCTACTCATTTGATCTTCCAGTTCCTTGTCCTTCGCATTGATTTGATCGACCAAGTCTTCGATTTTAGTCGAGGCCTCATTCTCCTTGTGTAGTATTTGCAGTTCTAAATCCTTTATACGAGCTGAAGCTTCTTCTTTGTAAGCCTCGTGTATCTCTAGGTGACGTGAGAGCTCTATTTCCTTCTCAGCCAATTCTTCACTTAATCGCCTGGATTCAGTTACAAGATCACGATTCTTGTTTTCAGCTAGTTCAATCTCATTCTCAAGATGTGAGATTTTCGAGGAGAATTTGAAATTCTCCTCTTCTGCAGTCTTTTGCATCTGACTCAGCTTCACAACTTCGTTCTTTAATGACTCGTAATCCTGCTTTAAAGTAGACAACAGCCCATTTACCGATTCCAATTCCAGATGCAGGTTTTTCTTCTCGTGTTGCAACTCACTGTTAATGGTTCTCAATTCTTCAGCATTGAAAAAGACCGCCTCCTTGTCAGCAATTAAACTTTCTCTCTCTTTCTCCACGTCTTCAAGCCTCTGATTCAACTCAGCTTGTACCTTTCGTAAACTTCCCAGCTCTATATTTATTTCAGCATTTTCAGCCAAAAGCTTCGATTTCTCTTCGTTCGATTTTTCTCCTTCAGCTTGATATTCCAGATATAGAGCTTCCTTTTCATCTTCAGTAGCTGCCAACTTTCTCTTCAAGTCACCAACCTCCAAAAGTGCCATTTCCAGCTCCTGCTTTACGACAGCTGTATCCGTCTCGAAATTAATTTTAACTTTACCATTTTTTTTGCCCTTTTTATTCGACGATTCATCGGAGTCCGAGGAATCTGAGCTGGACGAAGAGGAACTGTTCTTATGATATCCATGAGCTTTCTTTCTCAACTCTTCTGTCAGATTTTCGTAACTAGCATAAAGAGACTGGTAATGATTGTTAAATTCCTCGATCAAATCTACTACAACCGGATCTTTCCTATTATTACCATCTCCCTCTTTAAGAATATTTAAGATTTCTCCACTTTACCATCAATTCTGCAGTTATACGTCACCAATTAGATGTCGAAAACGCAATCTCCGAGAAAAACTATATACATGTCTGATATTACGGAATAGTAC